TTTTGTATATTTTCTTTGGAGAAATGTTCAAATCTCTTGTGCATTTTAAAACTGGATTAGTCTCCTTACTGTTTTTCAGTGGTAAGATTTCTTTATATATTCTAGATGAGAGACTTTATTAAGGTGTGATTTACAAATACTTTTTCTCAGTCTGTGGGTTATCTTCATTTTCTTAATGATGTCTTTTAAAGCACAAAAGTTTTAAATTTTGATGAAGTACAATTTATCAGTGTCTTATTTTCTCACTTACAGTTTTGTTGTAACATATCACCCAAGTTTCTGGAGATTTACTACATATTCTTGCAAGAGTTCTATAATTTTACTTTATTTTTTTAAGTTTATTCATTTATTTTGAGAGTGAGTGAGAGAATCCCAAACAGGCTCTGTGCTCTCAGCACAGAGCCCAATGCAGGGCTTCATCCCACGAACCGTGAGATCATGACCTGAGCCAAAATCAAGAGTCAGTCACTCAACTGACAGAGCTACCCAGGGGCCTCAGAGTTCTGTAATCTTTGCTCTTAATTTAGGTGTCTTATTCAACTTGGATTAATTTTTTGTATGATATGAGATAGAGGCCTAAATTCATTCTTTTGCATGTGGGTATTACATTATTTCAGCACCATTTATTGGAAAGACAACAGACATGCTTTGTTTTATTGTGTTTTGCTCTCTTGCACTGTGTAGATACTGTGTATTTTTTTTTTTTAGTGTTTATTTTTGACAGAGAGAGAGACAGAGCATGAGTGGGGGAGGGCTGGAGACAGGGAGAGACACAGAATCCGAAGCAGGCTCCAGGCTCCGAGCTGTCAGCACAGAGCCTGATGTGGGGCTCAAACTCACAGACTGCGAGATCATGACCTGAGCCGAAGTAGGACACTCAACTGACTGAGCCACCCAAGTGCCCCTGTATATTTCTTTTTTAATGTTTATTTATTTTTGAAAGAGAGAAAGAGCACGAGCAGAGGAAGGGCAGAGAGAGGAGGGAGACAGAGAATCCAAAGTAGGCTCCATGCTGTCAGTGCAGAGCCCAACGTGGGGCTCAAACTGGGAGACCATGACCTGAGCCCAAATCAAGTTGAATGCCCAACTGAAAAAGTCACCCAGGTGCCCCTAGGTACTGTGTTGTTTTTGTTTTGTTTTGTTTTTGTTTTTAACAAATTGAAGGTGTATGGCAATCCTGCCTCAAGCAAGTCTGTCGGCACCATTTTCTCAACAGCATTTGCTCACTTTGTTTCTGTCACATTTTGGCGATTTTTGAAAAATTTGTAGTTTTCTATAATTTTGTTATGATCTGTGATCAGTAATTATAACTAGCTGAAAGTTTAGGTGATACTTAGCATTTTCTAGCAATAACGTATTTTTAGGGACGTCTGAGTGGCTCAGTTGGTTGAGTATCCAACTCTTGATTTTGGCTTGGGTCATGATTCTGGGTTGGTGGGATCAAGCCCCGAGATGGGCCCCATGCTTAGCATGGAGCCTGCTTAAGATTCTCTCTCTCTCTCTCTCTCTCCCTCTCTCTCTCTCTCTCTCTCTCTCTTCCAACTCATGCTCCCTCTCTAAGGTAAAAAATAAGTAAATAAAAATTTAAAACTTCTAAAAAATAGTTATTAAAAAAAACTTTAATGTTTGTTTATTTTTGAGAGAGAAAGACGGTGTGAGTAGGGGAGAGGCAGAGAGAGGGAGACAGAATCTGAAGCAGGTTCCAGGCTCTGAGCTGTCAACACAGAGCCTGATGTGGGGCTCGAACTCATGAACCAAGAGATCATGACCTGAGCCAAAGTCAGACACTTAACCAACTGAACCATCCAGATGCCCCCCAAAATAGTTATTTTTAAATTAAGGTGTGTTTTTAGACCTCATGGCATTGCACACACTTAGTAGACTGCCGCATAGTCTAGACAAAACTTGTATATGCACTGGGGAACCAAAATATTCATTTGACTCTATTTATTGTGATGTTTACTTTATTGCAGTGGTCTGGAACCAAACCCACAGCATCTTCAAGGTTTGCTTGTATTCTTTCCTCACCAAATTGTCTTGGAATCTTTGTCAAAATTCAAATGACCATAAATGTAAGGGTTTATTTCGGGCCACCCAATTCAATTCCACTGATCATTGCCTACCCTTATGGGAGTATCACACCATTTTGATCACTGTAGTTTTATAGCAAGTTTTAAATTTAGCAAACATAACTCCTACTTTGTTCTTTTTCAAGACAGTATGGCTCTTCTGGGTCCTTTGCATTTCTGTGCACATTTTAGGTTCAGTTTTGTTGATTTTTGTAAAAAAAAAAAAAAAAAAAAAAAGTTGAGATTTTGATAGCTTGTGAATTGAATCTGTAGACAAGATTGCCATTTTAACCATATTAAGTCCTTTGTTTATGAACATGACTGTCTTTCCTTGTGTTTAGATCATCTTTTGTTTTTTGTTTTTTTTTTGATGCTATTGTGAATAGAATTGCTTTCTTAATTTCATTTTTGTGTTTTCACTGTAGTGTATAGAAATGCAATTGATCTAGGGGCGCCTGGGTGGCGCAGTCGGTTAAGCGTCCGACTTCAGCCAGGTCACGATCTCGCGGTCCGTGGGTTCACTCGACTGCGTCAGGTTGGGTGCTGATGTCGGGAGCCTGGACTCTTTTCCGATTCTGTGTCTCCCTCTCTTCTGCCTCCCCCTGCTTTCATGCTCTGTCTCTCTCTGTCCCAAAAATAAATAAACGTTGAAAAAAAAAAAAAAAGAAATGCAATTGATCTATTATATGTGTCGATCTGGTATTTTGTTACCTTGCTGGACTGGTTTTTTCTACCTTGTTTTTAGTAAATTCTTTTTTATTTTCTACATAGAGGTTTACCTTGTCAATATCTTGTCATTTTTTAATAAGTTATTTTTGTTGATTCTGATTTCAATAATCTGAAAGACCTTTGCATTTAGGTTGATAGAAAATTCTTATTCTCATTTCCTGTCAGGTACATACACAATTATTTAATTTTCCTTAAGATGCCTTGTGTACAGCAGAAATCCTAGTGCAAAAATAAGGATGTGATTCCGAGTTTAGGGTTCCTGAAAATAGGTGTTACCTTATAGATACTGAACATAATTGTCACTTATAATGTTACATTTCTAGTTGGATAACTTTTATCTATTTTGTCTTGTTTGTATTTTGAAGGTACTAGACACCTGGATTTAATTTATAGGAGATCGTTAGCCAAAGGTATAGAATGTGCCAGGACAGAGTCATAGAAGTAAGTTGTATACTGTGGGAACAATCTGACTCTACTAGTTAGTAGGAAAAACCTAGTTACTCCATTAAATACACAGAGAAGTCTTGGTGGTTTTTGAGAATTAGTTATCAGGCATTTGACATGAGCAAATATGGTCTTTGAATGAATGGTGGTTAAAAACTCTGGGTGGTTCTGGTTTGGTGAAGAGCTAACTAGTTGTGTGACCTTTGGGAAATAATTTAACTCTTAGTTTCTGTTTCTACCTCTGTGAAAACGATGAGGTATGTCTGAGTGATTGCTAAAGTTCTACTCAGGCATAAATTTCAGCATTCCCTCTGTATCTGCTCTTATAGTTGCATATAGATTGACTGTTACTCTCTAAATAGACTTTCCCCACACAAAGTTAGAAACATCTCCCAACTATCTTTAATATGCACATAAGTTGAGGATCACTGCTTTATAGACTTAAAAGATTAAGGGCAGCTTGATGTCAAGTAATTTTTTCATGCTCTGATATTTTAAAAATGATGAAATGGAATGATGGTTATGGAAATAACAAGAATGAGGTAACAAATTATTTTATGATTTATGGAGTAACTTGGTATGTTACATTATTGAATCCGAAGAACAATTCTGTGAAACTAGGAAAGTGCTATTATCCCCATTTAGCAAATGATGAAATTGAAGTTCAGAGAAATTAAGTGACTTGCTCAAAGTTTCTGTACTAATAAAAAAAAAAAGGAGTCTGGAACTATATGCACATCTGGCACCTTTCCTATTAACCCATCAGTTAGGATTATGTAGGATAAATAATCTCAGATTCTTAGCCCTTCCATTATGTGTTTACTGGTCTTTGAAGTTGGATAATTACCTACTTAGATTTAGAAGATTGAATAATCTAAAGCTGTGGGTCTTTATTGATCCTTAAGCTACTAACATCTTTATAATTTTTCTCTATGTATTTTCAATTATGGGTATCTGGCCACTGTGATGGAAAACAAATTGGGTAGGGGGGCAGGGTGAAACTAATTTCAAAATATGGTAATCACTTGAGTTGCCACATAAAGAATAATTATGTATTCACTTGGCTTGTTCTTCTTGGTGGTAATTGCTGCAGATAGCACGGAGAGGACACAAGCATCAATTTTCCCTTTGTGTTAATGGTGATTGATTTAACTTGTTATGCATCCCTTCCAATTTACCCACTTTGCTACCTTTTTTTCCAATCAAGGTTGGAAGAACTAATTCATGAGTGCTATAGTACTTTGTGTTTTATGCTGTATAATTGCTTGTATATGTGGGTAGAACCGTCTATTCTTTGGAGCAATAACTTTGGATTTTTTTCTCTTTTTCTTTTCCTTTTGGTCACTGTGGCTGTGGTTCCTATTAGTGCTTTGAATTCATGCATTTTCATGCCTAACTATTCCTGGCAACTACCCAGTTAATCATCAATGAGCTGGGCTTTGGAAGTGGTGCTTTGTGGTTGAGTGACTACGAAGGCTTAATTCTCTCTTTCCTGTCCCTTTAAGAATCTCAGAACTGGATCTCTGGGGAAGACTTGCACTTAAGTCTATATTAACCCTTTTGCTTTTCAACTTTGGACTTTTGTGGAAACGTGGGACAGACTAGCTATGGTATTCTTACCTGTCTTGGGACAGATAACTGAGAATTCTAAGAAAGATCACCTTGAGGAAGTCTGTTTCCTTACATAACTGATGCTTTTAGAATAAATATTGGACATTGTCTATTCCTATTGGTTCACTGTGCTTTCTCTCCCTTTAGCCCCCCAGGTTCGCCCAATAGTCTTGGCTACTTCCCTACAGCTGCTAATCTTAGCGGTGTCCCTCCACAGCCTGGCACGGTGGTCAGAATGCAGGGCCTGGCCTACAATACTGGAGTTAAGGAAATTCTTAACTTCTTCCAAGGTTACCAGGTCAGTAGCTTGAAGAAGAAAATACACAGTGCCCTTATTACTTAAGTTGATTTGCCTAAAGAATGCAGCCAGGAAAGAGCAGATTTTCTGAACCTCATGTGTGCATATGCTAATAGGTTTGCTTATAGAGGCAAAAAGAACCAGAGGCAAAGTCAGGGGGGCTAGTTTTGAGTGCTATTTTTTCTTTTTTTTGTTTTTTGAATTTTTTTTTTTTTAATGTTTATTTATTTTTGAGACGGAGAGAGACAGAGCATGAACGGGGGAGGGTCAGAGAGAGGGAGACACAGAATCTGAAGCAGGCTCCAGGCTCCGGGCTGTCAGCACAGAACCCGACGCAGGGCTCGAACTCACGGACTGTGAGATCATGACCTGAGCCGAAGTCAGACGCCCAACCGACTGAGCCACCCAGGCGCCCCTTGAGTGCTATTTTCAAACTCACCCATTTGACAAGATTAGGACTTTTCCAGGCTACTCTAATTGTCTCAATATAATCTGTTGGTGCTCTTTTTGAAAATTGGGCTACTTTGGGAAAGCTCTTCAGGGTACACAGCAATGTGGGTCTTTTCATCTAGAATAGGATTGGCTAAGAAGGAGTTTTCCTCTAATTCTTGACTACCCCCCCCCAAAAAAAAAAAAAAGTACTTAAACATGCAATTTGAGTATGTAAAAAGTAGTCAAGGCCTCTCTACCTAACCTGGAAAAAACAAAGGAGACTCAATCTTTAGATGCTAACTCATTAAAATGAGCTGTAGGATATTTGGTGAGCCTTATATGAAATGATCTGTGATAATTCTTGTGAAACGAATGTTGGCTCTTACCAACTTTTTCTGCCACTGCCTATGTCCATCAATTGTTTTCCAACTCAAGTTACGAAATGAGATGTTTCTTGGTAAACTCTATAAGAGCTCTGTAAGAGTGAGCAAAATCTCCTCATTGCCATCTCCTCTGAGCAGAGACCTTTCTTTCCTTGAATCACATAATTACCTAGAACCCAAATTCCTTTCTTGCAATACCTAAAAATCAGTATCTTGAAACTCTTTTATTGTATTAATAGCAAAAATTATCTTTCTTCTTGAAGCTGAACTTTGCTTGAGTCTCTAGAGCCGAGAAGTATTTATGGACATAATCATCAAACCTAAAATAGGCCTTGAGCATTTACAGTACAGAGTTGTAAGGATTATGCCTACAGAGTCTGTTTCACCATTGGAATGGGTTTACAAGCTTGGTGTCCATGAATCCTGGAGGATTGTGGAGCTCGTCTAAAATTATCTCCGTGGGGCTGCCCCAAGCCTACCAAGTTATTGTAATGTTCTTATGGGCTTTTAAAATTGAAAGTGTATTTTCTGGCAAATGAAGAATATCTAGTGAAGGTTAGACAAAAGTTATTTTTTGTTATTGCCTGGCTTAACACATTCATACCGGAAGTAAGAGGTCTTTAGAGATCAGTAGATCTTTTCCCCTTATCTATGGGAGAAAACATTCCAAGACACCCAGTGGATGCCTGAAATTGCAGATAGAATCAAACCCTGTAATTTCTTTTTTCCTATCCCTACCTACCTGTGATAAATTCTAATTCAAAGACAGAGATTAACAATAATAAAGCAGAACTGTAATAAAAGGGATGCGAATGTGGTCATTCTCTCTCAAAATATCTTACTGTACTACATTTACCCTTGTTGTGATGATGTGAAAAGATAAAATGCCTGTGTGGTAAGATGAAGTGAGGTGAATGACGTACGCATCGTGATGTAGTGTTAGGATTGTGTTAGGATCATTTGCTTCTGGTCAGTCAAGGGTAACTGAAACTGCTGATAAGGGGGACTATTGTACATACTTTGCTTCTTCCCTAAACCATATGCTGCCTATTGGGAGCTTTGCAAGGGGGGAAACAGTTACTCTAAACTTCACATAAGATTCATGAGATTCTGAAAGGAATAGAGAATTTTACTGAAGGCTATTGAGGAGGTTGCTTAATAAACTTTTGAGTTTGTGTTTTCTCCCAGTGTTTTCCAATTCTGGAAAGTACAAGCAAAGTTTCAGGCTCTAAAAGTCAGCTGATTTTCTATTTTGAAGTCAATTAATTTTCTATTTTGTTTTGACTGGTCAACATTTAGCTTTGCAATGACTAGAATTAAGAGGTCATACACATAAATTGGTTGTGAGATTAAGCAAAATTGCTCTTATTATGAAGTGTTCTCTGGCTGGCTTTTGTGGGTATTCTACCAGAAACAAGTAAAAGCAGTTATTTCTAGATTTATAGCTACAAGATTGATGTGCTTCAAAGTTGCAGTTTATAGCAGTTTACCTTCTAGTATCTTCTAGGGAATCATTGAAGGCTGGAGTAGAGTTATCTGGTATAATCAGAAGTAAGAAGATCGTACAAAATTATTTGATCTCAAGGAATTTGGCCTTCATTGCTGAAGTGCTTGGAGTTCATGACCTGGTTCAACCAATTAGGATTACGTAGGAACTAGGAGCACCTGTCTGGTTCAATCAGTAGACCATGCGACTGTTGATCCCAGGGTTGTGAGTTCAAGCCCCACATTGAGCATAAAGCTTCCTTAAAAAAAAGAAAAGAAAAAGATTATATATAAACCTCACTTATCAAATTAAGTATATCAAATTATTCCAATGTCTTTAGTAATTTGAGTTTTAAGGCAGTTACAAAATCCAAAATCTTTTGTATCCTAATTTTATATCACTCTTACATGAAGGCTCATACATTCAGTCTTTGAGAGTCCATGTCTATTTTTTTGTTTGTTTTCTTTTTTTTTAATGGTTTTGTTTTTTAAGTTTTTATTTATTTTTGAAAGAGAGAAAGAGAGAGAATGAATCACAAGCTTGATTGAATGAATCACACAGGGCTTGAAACCGTGACCCTGAGATCATGACCTGAGCTGAGATCAAGACTCGGATACTTATGGGACTGAGCCACCCAGGTGCCCCAAGAGTCTGTGTCTTCTTATTTTTTTCTGTCCTTAATTATTTTGGTAATAGTCCCTAGCTATAGGAATCCGGATTGGGTGTAGATTTACCATAAGACAAAATCGGTAGAGTGTGACTTAAAACCGTGTTCTCTTAAGTATATTTTGTATTTATTTTTATTTACAGTGTATTCATTGCTGTTGATGTATTGGAAGGTTTTCATTTTATTTCTGGTTATGTAATATATTCATATAATAAAGCAAATACTTAGTAATAATTGGTTGAGTGAAATCTCTTGATAGTTTCCAATTCTGCCTTCTAAAAAACATCTCAAGATAATAATGGCATATGTCATTTCCTATAAACATTATATTTAAACATAATTTTTGGATATATGTTTCTCCTACCCTTAGCAAAATTCCTTCTACTTCGACGTAATTTTTCCATACTTCACACTTGGTGGTAGTGGGGAAGGGGGTATGAAGCCAGAGAGGGCAAGGATTTACAAAAAGGGAAGAATTCTGATGTCCAAAACAAAATGCAGCACATGGGTTCTGCTATCAATTTTGTAATTTTGTAGGGGCACCTGTCTGGCTCAGTCAGAAGAGCATGCTACCCTTGATCTCAGATTTGTGAGTTTGAGCCCCACGTTGGGTGTAGGGAATACTAAAATAAATAAATAGGTAAACTTTTTAAAAATCTGTGATTTTATAAAGTTAAAGTGCCTGGGTTGGGCCGATTTTGGTAAATGAGATTTATAGAATGAGGACTGAATACATGAAGACAAACTACCATGAAAATATTTGATCAGGAGAATGTCATTCTGGTCGTGAAAATAAACCTGTATCTATATTTGATGGGCCTCTTATTCTGGACTCTCTGGTCTCCTTACATAATTCTTATAACTTGATTTGCCATTTGCTTTATCCTTTACTGTTAATGCTTTGCATTTTTAATGGTTTTAGTTTTTGTTTTTTCTCAGAATACTGACTTTAATCAGTATCTCTTTAAGCCTCTTGCCGCTATTATGTTTATCTGCTGTCTGCTTGAGAGAATTAGGTTGATATTACAAATACAATATTTAAAGTTCACAGAGTTGCTTGCAGATGCTGGGCTTATTGGACAATACTTTGCAAATAGTTGGTACTCAAACTATTTTATATCTAGTCACACCTGTGATATCATGGAAACTACTGTTAGCATGATCTGACGTGTTTGTTGTTTATTGTGTTATGGGTTCTTTATCCCTGTGTTCACTCTAACTAACCCCTTCCCTAAAAGAAGGTTTTATTAAGTAGGAAGTGGTGACTTGGGATTAGTTGTTACATATGTGGCTCTTACCAGCATTTGAGCTGTTTCCTACATTCTAAATGTCATATAGTACTGTCCGTAGATCTATTCAGTTGAAATGCTAATCGTCCATAGTGGCAGTTTGTCCATCTTATGATCCTGTTTGTTCTAACTTGCATTGTAGTACGCAGCCGATGATGGACTTGTACACACAAATGACCAGGCCAGGACTCTACCCAAAGAATGGGTTTGTATTTAAGGGCCCCAGCAGTTAGACCATCCTCAGAAAAGAAGGTAAGGCGCTACGATGTGAAAGCTCAATCATAAAGGGCCAAATAGAGATCGAGAATCTGAAAGTATTTTTTATGAGTCGCGTAAGAAGTTCCCCCTTTTCTTTAGTATGATGTAGGAGTGACAGAGATTCTGGAAGAATTGGGAGACTGGAATTCAGTGTGTCATCCAAGGAGACAGTATCTTAGAAACATTTATGGATCGTAGTTGTATGTTATTTGGGGGTAAGGGAAAACTTGTCAATTTAGAAATTCATTTGCTAGATTTAATGTGGAATACAGTTTGGGTATGCTTTTTTGTTGTTTTAATTTAGGTAAAAATCATAACAATCTACCATTTAAAAAAAATTTTTTTTAACATGTATTTACTTTTGAGAGAGAGACAGAACATGAGTGCGGGAGGGGCAGAGGGAGGGAGACACAGAAACAGAAGCAGGCTCCAGGCTCTGAGCTGTCAGCACAGAGCCCGATGCAGGGCTCTAACACATGAACGGTGAGATCATGACCTGAGCCGAAGTAGGACACTTAACTGACTGAGCCACCCAGGCACCGCCCCTAAAATCCATCATTATTATAAGTATACAATTCAGTGGCAGTATATTCATAACATGTGCAACCAGCACGTCTATCTAGTTCCAAAACACTTTCATCACCCCAAAAGAAAACCCCAAACCCATTAAGCAGTATCTCCCTATTTTCCTTCCCCATAGACCCTGGAAACACCATTCCTGTCTGCATGGATTTGCCTTTAGTGCATATTTCATAAAAATGGAATCCTACAATATGTGGCCCTTTTGTGTCTGGCTTCTTTCACTTCCCAAGTTTTTGAGGTTCATCCTTGTTGGAGCCTGTATCAGTACTTCCTTTCTTTTCATTGTTGAATAACATTCCATTATATGGATAGACCGCATTTTTTTTTTTTTTAATTTTTTTTTTCAACATTTATTTATTTTTGCGACAGAGAGAGACAGAGCATGAACGGGGGAGGGGCAGAGAGAGAGGAAGACACAGAATCGGAAACAGGCTCCAGGCTCTGAGCCATCAGCCCAGAGCCCGACGCGGGGCTCGAACTCCCGGACCGCGAGATCGTGACCTGGCTGAAGTCGGACGCTTAACCGACTGCGCCACCCAGGCGCCCCTAGACCGCATTTTTTATTCATTCCTCTTTTGATAGACATTTGAGTTGTTTCTGCCTTCTTGCTATTGTAAATAGTGCTGATATGAACATTTACGTACAAAGATTTGAGTACCTGTTTTTTAATTCTCTTGGGTATGTATCTAGGAGTGGAATCACAGAGTCCTATGGTAATTCTGTTGAGTGGACTTTTTTCCCATTTCATTTATTTTAATGGTGGTAAAGTATACATAACATAAAATTAACCATTTTTAAGTGTATGGTTCAGTGGCATTAAGTACAGTCACATTATTATGTAACCATCACCACCATCTATTGTCATCATCTCAAACTGACACTCCCCTCTTCCCTCACACCCTGGCAACTACCTTTCTACTTCCTGTTTCTATACATTTGACTATTCTAGGTAACTCAAAAATGGAATAACCTAATATTTGTCTTTTCATGATTAGCTTATTTCCATTAGCATAATTTTTTTTTAATGTTTATTTTTGAGACAGAGCATGAGCAGAAGAGGGGTGGAAAGAGAGGGAGACACAGAATCCAAGGCAGGCTCCAGGCTCCAGGCTCTGAGCTGTCAGCATAGAGCCCGACGCAAGGCTTGAACTCATCAACCACGAGATCATGACCTGAGCTGAAGTCGGACGCTCAACCGACTGAGCCACCCATGTACCCCCATTAGCATAATGTTTTTAAGGTTCATTGTCTAAATCTAGAGTAAAGGAATCCTGATAGTTTTTGAAAATAGTTTTTTAATTGGTAACCTTTTCTTAAAGGATATTGGCTTTCATTAACTAACTTGAACTTAAATAAAAACTTCGGGGGTGGGGTGGGGCACATGGGTGGTTCAGTGGGTTAAGCGTCTAACTTCCACTCAGGTCAGATCTCATAGTTTATAAGTACAAGTCCCACATCAAGCTCTCTGCTGTCAGCACAGAGCCCACTGCAGATCCTCTGTCTCCCTCTTGCTCTGCCCCTATCCTACTTGCAAGCGTCCTCCCTCCCTCCCTCTCTCCCTCCCTCTCTCTCTCTCAAAGATAAACATTTAAAAAATACACACATACATACATACTTGGAAGGGAAAAAAAGGATACTGGGTTTCTTTGTGAGCTTGCTCTAGAGATGGCATTGTGGGGACATGGTCAGGAATTGCTGTAACTTAATTCCTTCATTTTTTGTTGTTGTTGTTGTTGTTGGATTTGGTTTCCTGGTATGCCACTTTAAAATTTTGTTACTGGGGCACCTGGGTGGCTCAGTCAGTTGAGCGTCCGACTTTGGCTCAGATCATGATCTCATGGCTCGTGAGTTCAAGCCCTGTGTCGGGCTCTGTGCTGACACCTAGGAGCCTGGAGCCTGTTTCGGATTCTGTGTCTCCCTCTCTCCCTGTCTCTCTCTCACTCTCTCTCTCTGTCTCTCTCTCACTCTCTCTCTCTGTCTCTCTCTCACTCTCTCTCTCTCTCTCTCTCAAGAATAAATTAAACATTAAAATAAAATAAAATTTTGTTACCATTTTCATGGCTGAGGACCCTATGGGCCTTAACTATATGAGTTCTAAATTGGAAAGTGTGGTTGCCAATAGTACAATATTGTCCTTGAGAAATGACAATTAGGGTCTTAGGCTCTCGTTCTGAAGTTGTAGAAACCCCAGTTCTGGGATGGAAGTGATGATTCTCTGCTATTTTCTGTGAGATTTCAAGATATCTTGGGTACTAAAGAACATTGTGCCCAGATACTTTGCAGTGGGTATGGGGTATTTTCTAGTTTAGTTCACAGGAATGAGAGCACATTATTCTAGCCTTTTGATACTCTTTTTGATCCATACTTCGTCATTTGAAATGTTCTTTATTCAACTTCTTAATGCTGTTTATGAACGTGATAAGCATATTCTTCTATATCATAAAATGAATATATTGAATGAGAAATGACTAGAGGGGTGACTGGGTGGTTCAGTCAGTTGAGTGTCTGACTTCAGGCACTCCCAGGGTCATGATCTTGGGGTTCCTGGGTTCAAGCCCCTCGTGGGACTTTGTGCTGACAGTGGGGAGCCTGCTTCAGATCGTCTCCTTCCTTCTCTCTCTCTGCTCCTCCCCTGCTTGCACACACGCTCTCAAAAATAAATAAACATTAAAATCTTTAAAAAGAAAAAGAAGAAATGACTAGACGTGGAACTTTGTTCTTTTTTAAAAATGTTACTTACTTTGAGAGAGCATGTGTGCATGCACACATACGAGACAGGGAGGAGGAGAGAGAGGGAGAGAGAGAATCCCAAGTAGTCTTATGGGCTATCAGTGCAGAGCCCCATACAGGGCTCTATCTCACCAATGGCAAGATCATGACCTGATCTGAGATCAAGAGTAGGATGCTTAACCAACTGAGCCACCCAGGCACCTCAGAGCTTTTTGTTATTATATGAGAAATGTCCTAACTTGACTATAACCATTACTCAACTCTGATTCTATCTTTTTTTTTTTTTTTAATTTTTTTTTTTCAACGTTTATTTATTTTTGGGACAGAGAGACAGAGCATGAACGGGGGAGGGGCAGAGAGAGAGGGAGACACAGAATCGGAAACAGGCTCCAGGCTCTGAGCCATCAGCCCAGAGCCCGACGCGGGGCTCGAACTCCCGGACCGCGAGATCGTGACCTGGCTGAAGTCGGACGCTTAACCGACTGCGCCACCCAGGCGCCCCTAACTCTGATTCTATCTTATGTTTATATATTTGAAGTCATGATAGAAATATCAGGTGCTCTGTTAAAATCCAGGTGTTTGCATTTATTATTATAAAATCAGATTGATCTACTTTTATATTGAAATTTAAAAAAAATTCACATGGAGTACTGACTGAAACACCTGGCTAAGTTATCAGTTATTTAATGATCTCAGCGATCCTGGGAGGTAAGGATCATAAAAGTATTGTGTGCTCATTGTAAAGAATTTGGAACATACAGACAGGTGCAAAGAAGTCACTTATAATTCCACCCTCCAGAAATAACCATAATGAATATTTTCTTTCAGATTCTTTTTTGTACGTCCTTATGCAATTTGGACCCCATTTATTTCCCTTTAACCTTCTTGTGTGGCTATATATTTTTTCTCATCATCTATATTAATAATCAAATTTATCATCACTAGTCATCTCTTAAACATCACTAGAATGCCTTATGCTCTGTAAGCAATTTTATATCTCCAGTGCCATTTAAGTCTCATTGCAGCACTGTGAGGCATCAGAGCAGGTACCCATGGCTCCATGTGACAGATGAGGAAATGAAACCCAGAGAGGCTGGGTAACTTTCTGAGTCCTACAGTTAATGACCAAGCTGACTAAAGATACATCACTTTGAGTTTCAGTCTTGGTGCTCTTTTCTACTAAGCAAATAAGAGCCTGGCAAAGTAAGTACTTATAGTGGGATGGATGGTGGCCCCAAATAAATGTCCACATCCTAATCCCTGGAACCTGTGACTATTACCTTATCTGGCAAAAAAAAAAAAAAGTAAGGATCTTGAGGGGAGTTTATCCTGGATTATGTGGGTGGGCCCTTAATGCAATTATAAAAGAAGCAGAAATAGGGGCACCTGGGCAGCACAGTCAGTGGAGCACATGACTCTTGATCTCAGGGTCATGAGTTCAAGCTTTCACACTGGGTATGGAGCCTACTTAAAAAAAAGGGCAGTGGGGAGGAGACCAGATGGACACAGGAGAAGAGGAGGCAATATGACCATGGAGGCAGAGATTTAAATAATACAGACATAAGCCAGGGATCACCTGCAACCATTGAAAGGTGGAGAAGGCAAAGAATTGGTCCCTAGGGCCTCTGGAGGATGTACATCCTGGCT